CAGATCAAATGTGGTTGGATCAAGAACTTGAAGAGCTTCAATCGCTGGAGCACGGTGGAGGTACAGCAGTAAAGTGTACGAAAACAAGCATAGATTTTTCCGCACTGTTGCATTATCAGGCCATCCCACTGCAGATCGCTTTGGAAGATGAACCCTAGGTTGCTCAAACTTTCCATCACAATTCCATGTAGCCGCTAGCTTTGTGATGAACATCGTCTTACTATTAGCTGGATTCACTTGATGGTAGTTTCACCGCGACCAATCCGCAACTCGTTCGAGATCTGAATTCACCATCCTGACTAGCTCACGAGCACACGGGCCGAAACGGCTGATGTTAAGTTCTACATCATCAGCAAAAATCTGAATAGTGCAGAACTTCAGCACTGTCGGTAGAAAAAGTAGAGAACGAAGCCTTGAGGTATGACAGACGGCACCTCGGCGCTGCTGGAGCAGCGATCACCACAGAATACCATCTGTCTTCTCCACGAAGGTACGACTCCATCAAGATAACAGCAGCATAGGAAAGTTTGAACTATACTTCCAGTTTGAACAATAATTTGCTATGAGGGATATTATCAAAAGCCTTGGAAAAGTCCAATACAGGTATATCTCGATTTAACGTAACTGTCACTTTTGACCGTGATCGTCGATATCTCTCAAATGACAATTCAATCTTATAAATCAACATTACCAATAGATGGAGGTTTGTCTTGACTTTCCGATGGAATCATTACTTTGCTTGATTTAGTGATCGTTTGCGAGCAATCGGCGATGGAAATCAAAAGTGACAGTTTCGTTATATCGAGGTATACCTCTAGTAGTAGTATTTACACCAGCGCCTTTTTTATCAACGATGGTTCCTAAGTCGCCGTGTACTCGAAGAACTACGGTTTTGATATTCTGGACTCCACGGAAACCGGCCTCACAGTCAGGCAGCAGGTTGTTACCTTGGTTATACGAGAACATTTTCTGTTCGCGAAGTTGGCTAGAAATGTTCGATTCACCTCGCCCAGTTCGAGCTTACTTGGAGACGACGATTTAGTCTTGCCGACTTCAAGACTTTTTACCCGTTTCCAAAGGGTTTTTTGCAGAGTTCTGCTGTCTTAGAAACAGTCCATGCACTGCTGTTTGGCTTGAGTAATTTTTGTGTTAGCGCGGTTTTTCAGCACCTTTTACCGCTGTTGCTTAACGTCCTTCAATTGTGTTGTAGATTGCAACCAGTCTTTGTACGTCAATTCCCGTTCGAGCAGGGACTGACGTACACTATCAGAGAACCATGGGTTATGCCAACGGCGTTGGTACTATCTCGAAGAGGACTGCACGAATCATGGGTACAGTTTTGACATGTGCATTGAAGAATTCCAGAATTTCGGTTTTACGATCTCGAAAAAGTGGTTCCAGGGAATGGACAGTAATACGACATAGTCGCGATAGATGTACGGAGGGCCGTGATGTGTCGAAATCTACTGACGCAAAGTAAACTGGAAAACTGACATGATTGTGCCGCATAACCTTCTCGGTGCTGTTTGTTAGGAAGAGATCAAGTTGTGAACATCCGCCACCATGGAAAAATGTAGGTTCTTCGCTAACGGATGACAACGAATGACGACAGAGCATCGATTCAAATTGCATGCGCTTGCAACTAGGACGGAGCCTGTCATTGTTGAAGATTTTTTTTTTTCATATCGCACAGCGAAATCCACCAACTTTTCTGCCAAAAAAGATGAGCAATCGTTTTCGGGAGGGTTGTAGATGGTCATCAGCAGAATCTTGTAGCCGTCCACTCGAAACTCCAATGCCAAACATTCAGTTTTGCCCGTCGATTCTGCTGTGAGCACCGTGCCGAAAACCTTCGAGCAGGCCAGATGTTCACTGTAGTAAACAGCAATTCCTCCATCGTGCCAATACGCCCTGTCATTCCTTACAACGAAATAGCCGGAGATGCCGATGCTGCAATCACTGTTCTTCGAAATTAGCCATGGTTCGGTGAAACAGCCCATTGGAGCCCGACAAGACGTTCCGAACTTCATCGAGATTATTGTGATTCTGTACATTCCTGTGGCAGATATTAAGCTTTCCAGCGAAAAGAACAGCATTCAGCACTGCTCCCGGCATATTCAAAGAGATGTGGTTGTGTGCATTTTTTTTTGAGGGCTGCATTTTTACGGAAGAGAATAAAACAAATATCTGTGACATACCATCTTCAACACAAAAATAGAAAAACTGAGACACTTAGGGGTTTCGATCTAATTTCCGTCATACTAAGCACAACGTGCGCTTTAATTCTCTTGTATTAACGATTTTAAACAAAAAATGGAATATTTCTATCAAAGATTACTTCTAAATTTATTTAGCTTTCCAAACGTACCGTTAGATTTGATAAAAAGTCACAAATTGTTGAGATATTGTTTAAAATCAAATACTGCTTCTTGATTCTAAATTCGTTCTACGAATTTTATTCCGTCCAAACGCATTTAAACGCCATTAGATTTTCTTCGTCCTACGGATAAACTTAGAAAAAGGGGATTCGCTAGGAGCGCTTCTTTTGTTTCGAGAACAATGTGCGTAAATATTCATACAATGCGCTCTAATAGGATTTATGTTGTAGCTAATGAACTAACGCATCGGAACAAACCTTTTATTGATTTGTGCACCGTGAAATCATTGATATTATTGATCTTTTCTGATCGATATAACGGAAATGGGCGATTACCACGAATTAGTGCTCTACCCTATGCACGGACACAACTTGAAAAGTGATAGAAAAACTTAGTTCCAGCTCATCCTCAGACTGTATCCTCAGCTGCAGACTTCACATGGACGACTCCTTGTTTGGTGTACACTGATGCCAGCTTGCCCGCCTTCTTCAGGTGTAGTACAGCCGACTTCAGCTTGCGCGTTTCGTCAGGCTTTCGTTGATGTATACTCGGCGATCAGAATCCAAACCGATGTGCTTCAGCTTGAGGCCTTGCTTTCGTAAATAAGCACTATAGAACTCGTCCCGTGTTGTCTTCAGACAAACTCGGCAACGATAATGCCGTCACACTTACTCGTTCTTGACACAAACTCGTGTTAACGTATGAGTAGATGAACCATATTTTCTACCTGTACACATACGAATAAATCAATCAGTGAAATCAGTGTTCAGAAAATCATTCTCCAATCTAACTCATCCATGATAGAATAAACTCGCGTGCGAATCTGGCAAACAGTGTTGGGAAAATATAAAAAAATCAAATCTCACCAACGTCCAAGATCACGCTTGATTTTCGTAGACAAAAATCAACAAGCAAATAACTGCGGTTGATTTTTCAAGCTGTGATATCGCAGCTCGGAATATCAAGCTAACAAAACTCACCAGCTGCAAATCTCAAAAAACTGTGGTGAGATTGAGTATCATGATTTTTGCTTTACAACCAAATGCAATCGAAACTTCCATAACGGCTGGCAGCAGTCACTTCGTGTTTGCCATCGGTGAAGAGTAAAAAGAGGTAACAAACTTTACTTTCTCTTTAGAAGAAAACGATGTGCAACTCTCAGCTTGATTTTTGCACGTTCTAAATAGTCTCGCAATATCAAAAGAGCTTGTAAAATCAATATCAAGCATGATATTTTGTTCCAATATCACGCGTGATATTGCGAGCGCATGAGAACGGAAAAATATTAATTGATTTCTGATTTTGCCAACACTGCTGGCAAATAAAATGCACGCTTGAGAATCTCATGCATTTTAACGCACTCACAATCACAACGCTAAAAAATCATTCGAGATTAAAACTAAAAAAAACCATTCAAACGTCAATTGATAGCATGCTTATGCATGTTGTGTTAGTTTTCCATCCAATAATGCAAAAAACAACGAATAACGAAAACATATAATTCGAACCCAAACAGCGCCGATGATGAGTGGTAAGCGTGACTACCTCTCATCCCGGGTTCAATCCCAGTCAGACATTCTGGGACTGCAACTTGGGATCTTTTTAAACTTGCAAAAATCTTCGATATGCTGGTCATGAAAAAAAAACAAGTTAGCATTAAAAGGAGGCATCCTGATTCTGGAACATTAAAAATTTCAAAGATTCTGAAGACAAGCAACAACCTCTGCCATTTCTTGCATTTTTTTTAAGTCCGGCATCTTGCTATCTTGAAAATCAAGAGTTTTTAATTTTAGAGACACATCTTTTAAAGTATAGAGAATTACTTTTCAAAAAGTGTCTTCGCAGCCTGGGTAACTTTTTCGAGGAAAATTGAGTGGTGCAATTTGCGAAATAGAAGTGATGCACTTGAGCAATAAGGAGCTGTTCATAAGCTACGTAGACAGTTTAGGAGGGGGGGTTGAGAATTAACCACGGAACATACAAATTTAAAATAAATGTATGGACAGTTATCCATGCAGGGGAGAGGGGTCAAGAATCCTAAAAAAAACCGTCTACGTAGTTAATTAACAGCCCCTTATATAAAATGAATTAAGTATTGGACACTTACATTAACTTTGAGATGTGCATGAACAAAAATCTCAAAAATATGTTCGCTTTATCGCTTGTAGTTCTGTAGAAAAACGAGGAAGAAAAGATTAATTTCACACAATTCTATTATGTGCACATAATTATGTGAAATTAATTATTGGATGAAAACCCGATTAAATGTCGATTAAAAAAAAAACAACCACATCTATTGAACCGTATGTCCTTTATTTGTATAATGCACCTGATCAAGATAGAAACATTCCATGCTGAGATTGGAAGTGAATTTATGTACAAGTATGTTTTCGATCAGTGTGTCTAGAGGCCAGAGTACTCAAATTAATCGATACAATTGTATATATATATTTATACATGCAGCCAATAAGACTGATCTCAATCAACACCAGCTTTCAATTGCTCCGGAAGGCTGTAATTTGCATACATATATGAAAATCTAATTTTCAATTCATGTTCTCTACCTTCTTTCCATTCTGAACCGCTGCCTGGATGACTTTCCTCCACTTTCTACAAGAGCAGAGAATATTTTATTACCAGTCATCATTTTCGGCTCCCTCGGTGGCCTGACACTTTTAATCATCATCATCGTGGTAGCAATGTGCTTCTGGGGCAGAAAGAACAAAAAGAAGCTTCCACCGGCGGATGTGATACCGAAGGTAAGTCCGTCTGCTCGATACTTGTATGCTTATGCAGGGAAATTTTATTTTATCCTCTCTAGAGTGGAATTTAATTTCCTTCCTCTACCGCTTTACCTCCATTCAAATGATCTATCGCTTTTTTATTTTGCAAACGTTGACAAAAATTCTACAGCAGCACATTTCCGAAAAGGATGGCAAAGAGTTGGACCGTCGAACGTCGAACGTTAGTGACCTGAAAATAGATCGTGATAATGAATTTATGGAAACCAGCCTCGGTCCAGACGGGTTGACCACTCAAGTGAATGTGGTCCTCGGTTCGAGCACAACAATTGCCAATCACACCAAAAGCGGTTCAGCACCGGGCGAGGTCACAGGACAGACTTTGAAAATATCGAACGACTACCGGTAAGATGCAAAAATGTCGAAAATTGGTTTCAATTACTTACTTTTGCTGTGTTCTCGTTTGTCCAGATACTCCGGTGATTTTTCCGACAGCCTGTGTCAGCTTCCAGGTACGGGATCTGGAAAAAATAGCAACGGATACGTGCCATACGTGGATTATACCCGTGACTATAGCCCACCTGCAACACATCTGATGCAATTCCGAACGAGCACCAGTAGCAGTAATATCAGTAATAGTTTAAGTAGCCACAACCACGTCAGTAGTAACAACAGTGGTCCGATGACTCTAGGTCGTCATCGAAAATCCGAATTGAGACACGATAATGGATTACCAAGCATCCAAGGAAGTCTTAGCTCGTTGCCAAATGGGATAATTAGTAAGTACCAATAGTGCATTCAACACAATTTAGCCTAAATATAAACAAATCCGAACAAACTTCACCGTTGTCTTATCCATGCCCACTGCTGAATCGTGAAAACTTGCATAAACTATTATTTTAAAACTACAAAATTTACAACTTCCCGGCTAATACTCGTACAGGCTTTTTTTTTCCGAAGTATCCCCAGATTGCCTACGGAAGAGGGCAAAAGGGGAACAGACTAACTTTCCTCGCCAGGACAGTTTTAATAGATTTCTGTTTACTTAAACTTTATCCCGTTGCATTGCGCTGCACCGGCGGGGGTACAGTTTCGTCGTACCTCAGCTGAAGACTCCAGTATATGCAAGAAGAAAAGAAAGAGCAGAACGTATACAGCTGCTGTGAGTGATAGTATTGAAACGAATAAAAGTTTGACTGTTAAAGTTTGAACCAACATTGACCCAAGGATGAAAATCCGGTTGGCCCGTGTCCAAGTGGAAGTTTAAGTAAAATATCTAGTGCAGTGATGAAGATTTACTTGTTTTAATATACATATTTTCCTCCACGGTCAATTGCCAGAAGCAGGAAGGTTCGGTAACGATTGAGGAAAAACGAAGTGTTGTTTAAGCATTGATCTTACAATCAACGGTGAGCAACTGAAAGAGATAATTTACGAAACTCCTGCTTACTGCAAACAACTTTTGATTACCTTTTTGATCTTGATTTTGATTATGATATAATTTTATCTTTCATTTATGGTGCCCAACTATAAGGGCAGTGCACTGTGATCAGAATCGACAATTTAACAGGGGAAAATATGCGTAGTTTTAATTAATTTAAGAGTTTTAAGTATTTAAGTATTTCGCGGGCCTGATGTGCTGTCGCAAAAATTGTGGAATTCATTGTAACCTTTCCGTCCCGGATTATTTTGCTGCTCATTTGGCTCACAATTGTTTACCGGTTCAAACCATACACCCTGCAAATAATCGAGAAATGATCTCAATTCCATAAGTCATACCGAATTTACAAGGAAATTCCCTGAGGTCTGCCCAATGTAAGACATTATCCTTTTTTTCAAAATGAACATAGCATTTTTCGTTGTCAAATCATAAACGAATCGTATATATGCGAGTAATTGCCATATATACCGGATATTCTAGGATCTCCAAATCGTCCTGGATTTCAGTTGATTTGTTCTACTATATCAACCAATACTGCAATAATGTCTGTAGTATCGAACTATCTCCAAACAGATTCAAAGTATCTATGTGGATTATACCTGACCTATTGCTACGTATACACGATGTTATAGGTTCTGAAATAATTCTAGAGATCAGATTATTTTTCTACTAGATCACCTAAGACTAATTCAATATCTGCAGTATCGAAATATACCCAAACAAATGTGCAGTGTCTATGTGGATCATGCCAACCTATTTCCGAGTATGCCAAATGTTCTAGGATTACCAAATCGATATTTCGATACTACAGATATTATTCTAGTATTTGTTGATCTAGTAAAACAAATCATCGGAACTTCAGGACGATTTGGAGAACCTAGATCATCTGGTATACGTGGAAACATTATCCATATAGACACTACGAATCTGTTTGGACATATTTCGATCCTACCGACTTTATCCCAGTCATGGTTGATCTAGTAAAATAAATCATCTGAACTCCAGAACTATTTGGAGAACTAAAAACAACTGGTATACATGACAATAGTTCATGCATTATCTACATAGACACTGTGCATCTGTCTGAAAATATTTCGATGCTAAAGACATTGTCCCAATCTCGGTTGATCTAGTAGATCAAATTATCTGAACTCAAGTACGATTTGAAGAACCTTGAACATCTGGAATACTCGGAAATAGATCATGCATGATCCACGTAGACACTTTGAATCTGATAGGACATTTTTCGATACTACATACATTAATGCAGTTTTGGTTGATCTAGTAGAACAAATCAACTGATGTCCTTGACGATTTTAAAAACCTGTAATTTCCGGTATACATTGCGGATCAAATTTAGAGAACCTTGTAACAGCCCTGGAAATTATGTATATGGTCCTCATTTATATATAATTCCAAAATCAGACTTTTTATTTGAGTATATAGGGTGTGGCACTACATACTCCTCTGTAGAATTTATTGCATATTAATCTTGATAATGTGGGAAATCCTCGGCTCGAAGGATCCCAGCTCTTCGAAGAGGAATACCAAAGGTATGGATAGGGGTTATGAAATGCTCGACTTGCAGGGATTATCTCATTGTGAGCCTTGGGAAAGGCTGATTGTTTTCGGCTTGTAACGGAAAAGGAGAATGCGTATTTGTTTAGTTTAAACTTTGTATTTGATGATCCGTTCGATGCAATGGTTGGTACACGTGTGTGCGCTTTGCGCGAAAGGTGGCTACTTTTATATGATAAATTCTTCTTCTTCTCCTCCTCTTTTGCTATCGTGGCTGCTGTGCTAAGCTATGAAATCCTTCTAGTGGGAGGAGCCAAAGCTTGCGTCAACACTTATTTTTCACTTTCGGTTGTGCGTGTGTGCAGTGGAAAAGAGTTGAAGTTAGTGGGGTGAACGATTACCCGTGGTCGGCTCGGGGTTAATGGAAGGGACATTGCTAAATAATATGAGGCGGAGAACGGGGATCAATCTAATCAGCACTAAAAAGAATGAAACTCCAGGAATGAATACAAGAAAATCACACAAAACGTTCGCCTCGTGTGCGAACAATACACTTTTTCGGATGTTTCTAATCGTCCAAAGGACTGTTTTCCATGTTTATGTAACGTCCATTCTTATATCACAGTTCCAAGTGTCTTCGAAAAAATTGCGGAATTTTATGGATTGACCACTTTCGCAGATGTTTGGATCTTGCAGAGCACCATTATCAAGGCCATCTGGGACCATGTTTGTGTCACGACCCCAAATTCACTCTTATAGCACAGTTTTAAGTGTTAAGTGTAAATCACAGTTCCAAGCGACACATCTAAATCTCGATTTGAAATGGTCGAAGAATTTCACACTAGCGGAAAATCCTACGAAAAATCTTTTTTCCATCTCGTGCATCTAACCTACCTACTCGCTTCGTTCTCCACCTTTTTGCAGGAAATTTTCAAAATCACAAGCGCGAGTGCAGCTCACAACAGCAAATCAAAAACTTTTTTGCATCTTAGATAGAGCCACCCCCTCGGTCCCAAGTGTTTTAGAAAAACACACGGAGCTCCAGGATCAGTTTCATGGATTGCCACTTTTACTGATGTGCCGGGTCTTCCAGAGGACAATCACGTGGCCATCAGATTCATTTTGATGTGACGACTTCAAATCCATTATTATATCACAGTTTCGTGTTTTCGAAAAAACCCACGGAGCTCTAGGATCAGTTTTATGGATTGACCCCTTTAACGGTTGTTCCGGGTCTTCAGAAAGACCACTTCCGTGGCCATCCACGTCCATATTTATGAAAAGACCCCAAATGCGTTCTTATATCACAGTTCCAAGTGTATTTGAAAAAAAAAACATGGATTAAATTCATGAACTGACCACTTTTACGGATATTCCGGATCTTCCGGAAGACCCCTTTTGTGGCCAAGCGGGTTTATGTTTATGTCATGACTTTAAATTCATGATAACAGTTCCTAGTGTTTACGAGAAAACTACGGAGCTCTAGGATCATTTTCATGGATTGACCACTTTTACGGGTGTTCCAGATCTTCCGGAGGACCGTTCCGTTGTCAGCATTGTTTGTATATAAAAACCATGACTATTTTCTGGCTAATTATGCACATAAGTGTTCAGTAATCAATATCGTAGTTTATAAGCCACATCCCATACACACATCTTTAAAAAAAGTGCAACGACTCTTTTCGGCAATTTTAAAAGTAGACGACCATATGTTCAACTTATTTACAATCAAAGTAATCCGTAGACCCTAAAAATTTTAGTAGGGTAGGTGTTCCAGTAATAATAGGGTACCTATAGATGCGGTACGGGGGTTGTCCGGGAATAATAGGGCAAATCGGATACGATTATTTTTCACAATAGCTCTCCTAAAATAAAGCAGATTTGCATATTTCACACTTAAAATTAGCCCAAAAATGACGGCAACCAATTTATTTTCCTTACGATTTTGACTCCTTTGCAGCTATTGTTGCGATAGTGTTCCTATAATAGTGGAATTTATAAGAAACCAATGTTTTCCACTATTCTAGGAACCGAAGTTACCACAACTACTGGAGCAGTGTTCTTATTAATGGGGGAAGAGTTTTTGAAGAAGGTAACAAGCTAATCACAATTTAACATTTTCATAATAAATAAGTGATTGAAAGCTATAGATTGGCGTTTAAATTTTTTATGCATATTGTTTATTTATTTTTAATACATAAATTGTCTTAGTACCTCCACTACTTTTTTTTTGTCTTCATTATAGAGATTTTTAGCCATATGGCTAGTTCATCTCTTTGCCTCCACTACTGGCTCACCCACTCTAATAACATTTATTAAAAATGGCTAAGTTATGTCATTACAAACTTGCCGCTACACGGATTTCGGAGGTTTATTGTTCAAAGTGTCAAATAATGGTAAATGTTCTTATGACCATTTTTTAATCATAAAGTTCAACGTGGCCGTGGCGTAAAATTGAGCATTTTTGGATTATTTTTATCTAGTGACAACCTAGGTTTTAGTCTTCAGCAAAGTTGTTCAGAACACCAAGGGCGTCTGGAAGATGGTCGGTATAGTTCAGAATTATCTCACTATATTTTTTTTTATATTGTTTTATCTCGTGATCGCGATTGCCTAAAAACTTCGAGTTTTGAGCAAAGCTGTTCAAAAGACCAAAGGCGTTCAGAAGGTGGACAGCTTAGTTCGGAATTTTATGAATACCTGGTGCTAGTGTTCATGAAAAATTTAACATTTCTTTAATTATGTTATCTCGAGTGTTCATCAAAGTTGTTTAGAAGATCAAGGGCGTCCGGAAGATGGCTAGTATTGTTCGGAATTATGTCACTACGTGTCGCCAGTGTGTATGCAACATTGAGCAGTTTTGTAATTATTTTATCTCGTGATCCCGACAACCTAGGAAGTTCGAGTATTCAGCAATGTTGTTCAGAGGGCCATGGCTGAGTGGATAATGCATAGTTCGTTTCGGAATTATGTACCACATCTGCTTGAATATGAGGTGAGTCAGTGTTGAAAATGTTGGAATCACTTGAAAATAAAGTGAATCAGACCTGAATATTCTGGAAACACTTCAATATGATGTCAATCAGATCTGAAAAGTTAGGAATCACTTCAAAACACTACCATTCATAAGTATGGAGCCACTAAAAAAATATTGAAACACACACTACCATAACCCAGTTCAATAAAGTTCAAACCCTCTTTGGAAAGTTCTGAATCACTTAGGAAAGTACTGAATCAACTCAAATGTGTTCAGGGTCAATTAATAAAATATTGGATAACTCCTGGAAGGTACTGTATTGCCTAAGAAAAGTTCGAAATCACTTCAGAAAGTACTGAATCACTTCAGGATAGTTAAGAATAACTTCATAAAGTACGGAATCACTTCAGAAATGATTTCAATCATTTTGGAAAGCAGCGGCACCGGTGGTGTAGTGGTAAGCGTGATTACCTCTCACCCCAGCAGGCCTGAATTCAATCCCAGTCGGCGCCGCCACGATGTTCTGAGGCATAAAATCTCTGACCAGCCTTCCTTCGGAAGGGAACTAATGCTATTGGTCCCCGGTGCATGATTTGATGGGTCGATAGGTATTGTCCAGTTGTGGGAGCTGCCTCCCTGGCGTCGGTAGCATTGGTGCTCAGCACGGAAAACTAGATCGACGGAAAACAAACCAAGGGGAAAAATCGGAAAGCACTGATTCACTTCTGAAGAGTTTTGAGAGATATAAGAAATTGTAGAATCGATTTAGCAAAATCTAGAATCACTTCTGAAAATATTACAGCGTCGCTTCATACTGAACAATTTCGGAAATAATTGGAATTATATCAGAATTTTCTGAAGAGCTTGAAATCACTTCGGCAAGTACAGATTCACTTCGAATAGAAATAAAGCACTTAAGAAAAGTTAGGAATCACTTCAGAAAATTTTGAATCACTTCAAAAAAGTTCGGAATAACTTCAGAAAGTACTGAATTACTTAAGAAATTTTAGAATCATACAAGTTTTGAATAACTTACACGCTTCATACAAGTTTTGAATAACTTAAAAAGCACTGAATCACTACATAAAAGTTCAGAATTACTTCAGAAAGCACTGAATTGCATTAGAAATCACTTTGGAAAGAATTTAATCATTCAGTGTGTTATCAATTTCGCAAGTACTGAATCATTTCATAAAAGTTCGGAGTTCCTTCAGTAATGTTCGGATCTGCTCCGGAAAGTACTTGTTTGTGCAATGTCATTTATATGTATAACTACCCTACCCGCTGTAAAGAGCAATACAAATTACCAAAACAACAGTGTCTCGTATGCCTCCGCCATGGCAGGACGGCAAAGCAATCGGTGTTCTTTAAATTTAAAGCTCAATTTACTTTGATGCATTTTCGAAAAATTCAAATGCAGTTTTTTTCGACGCTTCATTTCGGATTGCAAAAAGCTCACGTCATTCAATTCTTTCTGCTATTTTACACAAAATGACGCGAGCTTTTTGCAATCTGAAGCATACAAAATCTGATATATCTTTAATGGTGGAGCAATTGGCTATGTTGTGTGAGTGACACCACTATACGATACAAGCGATATCTCAACTACATACGCAGGGCTCCGTATGCTGCCCATGCAAATATTGACGTCACTATTTGTGTTTTAAATATTTTTGGGTTACTTATACAAATACATTTGACGATCTGCATCTTTCAATACCTCATTGCATGAAAACAACAAATGATATAAATGACGCATTTCGCGCCAAATCGTATTCGGAGCTGACAACACCCTCTCAGATTTCAATGAAACTTTCTGGATGTGTGGACCTTGACTAAGTATGCCACTTTGCATACTTAGTTTTTCCAAAATTTATCTAGACTAACATTTGAGAAGGGCCAACCTTTTTCTGCCGATTTTTTTCAAAAAAATATTATGGAAAAATGACAACTCCTAAAAAAATATGTTGTATGACTTGTCCAAGCTATCGAAAAAAAAATACTGGAAAAATCATTTGAGACCTACACTGAAAAAAATCGATTTTTAAAATTTTAAGTCGATTTAAAAAAAATGGCCACGACTGCACTGATTTTTTTTTTGATTTGCCATTTTTAAACAAAACTAAACCAGTGAAGCTCAAAATCATCTCAGATTCCAATGAAGCTCAATTTGCGATTCAGTTTTGTCTAATCAGCACTTAAGTTCACTTTGATTAATCGAGAATTTCATATGAAAAGGGCTCATGATGCATTTCTCGCCAAATCGTATTTGGAATTGGCAGCACCCTCTCAGAGTTCAATAAAACTATTTGGACATGTAGACCTTGTCAAAAAAATATCATTCCCTTATTCTGTTGTCTACTACTGATAACAGTAGGTACATAGACCTTGCGTCTGAACTTAAAAATTAATATAATACGAAAAAATTGTTGATTTTTGCGGTTTTTTCAGTCCATCTTATCGCCATGACGACACAGAAAAAATGTTTTGATGCGTAAATTTTCCTTAGTATTAGAGAATTTGTTTTTAAGATTTAACGATATCTTGTTCCAATATTTTTCAAAAAATCAAAACGTATTTTTTACGTTTTTTAATCATATAAAATTTAAAAAATTAATTTTTCACCGTTGAAATAAAAGATTTAAAATAATCTTACCGATTATGAAGCTACAGGCTCCAAACTTTCATTTCATGATATAAAATTTTAGATACATTCACTTTAAATAAAAATTGCCTTTAAACATAGCGTTTGCCGTCAATGGATGGCAATCGGTGTCCGACGGTGATTGGCTCTAGATTACGGAACAGAGACCGACGTTAAATAAGGAATGAATATGAAGGTAGAATTGATTAAGATTAGGTTATCTTTATAATTGCATGTTAAGCTTTCCTTAAATTCAAATTTAACAACAATGCATCAGCAGGGTCGATCCAATATGACTAAACATTATTCTTAGCACTTAAACTCGATGAATGAATAGAATTACGAAGAGTTGCAGTTTCTGAAGCATTTTTCTAGATTTTCCTGTAGTAGCAAGTGGTGTGTGGCAAGTAAGGCACATATAAAGTGAACAGACAACGGAAGAAGCACACCAACATATGAGAGTCGCAAAAAATCTACGTTACCACATTAAATTTATTTATTTTTAATTTACTTTCATAGAACAACCTATCCTTCAGGGTCATCTCACGATTGACCATCGATCCGGTGGAACGTACGGCAATCCATTCACTCGTGGATCGGCCTTCGGTTCGTCGAACATTCCACCGGCTACAGCCAACCCTGCGGCCACACCAGCACCTCCCCCGTACAACCTTGCTACACGGTCCACCCTTGGTTTCAGTGGATCTGGAGGAGTGACAGCAGCATCGTATGGTTCCGGTTCCAGCCCGGGAGCAACTGCAGCTGGTTCTACCAGCCCATGCTCGGTACAATCAGGTTCGTTGTCCTTATCACAGAATTCCCAACAATCCCAACAGCAGCAGCAGCAACCGTTAATGAATAGCAGTAGTGTAAGCAGTAATCCGCAGCAACCAGGAAGTCCATCCGCAGGTCAATTCATTCTTCCGAGTACTGGAACCATCAAACAACTGGGAGCTCCAGCAACGCATGTTTGAGTATGTTAGGCTAATTGTGTATAATAGTACACAACCACGAATAATTATGAATGTTTAGACTGTCCCGTCAATTTACCCGTGCTACTAAATTTAAAACAATCAATTCTTTACACATCTATAATAACCGTGAAGTGAAATTTTGTTTCCACTGTCAACACGTATGTAATCCATTTTCATGAAAATCACAAATGGCATATCATAAATTTGTTCAACGAAAATTCGTAAAATTGCGTGGCCTTATTAAATGGTAGAACATTATCCACTGCAAACCGAAACCACTGTGGTAAACATTCCATTGGCGTCAACCGAAAAGAATATTATTAATTTGCTCCCGTTTCCACACATCCACGTGGGGATATACTTTTGCAAAATTAAGTTAACCAAATTGAAATTAAATCTTGAAAACAATTTAATTAGAGCTCATGCCGTGAACAACAAGGGACAGTGATAAAAAACCCACTGCTTTCCCCAACACGAAAGATCGACAAACAAGCCAAAATGCAATTAATTTTCATCGAGATGAATTTTTCCCAACATCGGTGAAAGGAAGAAAAACCACGTTCAATTCAAATTTCGCTAGGGGAGGCCAAAACGAGCAGAGAGCAAAACAAGTGCGGTCGAATTGCAAGTTGCTGGCGGTTGGTGGGGTTGTGGCTGTAAAAAGCAATTGGCGCTGAAATAATCAACCATTGTGCGGCTAGCGATTGAAGGAGGATGGAAAAGTGGTGTGAAGAATCACAATGGATGGAAGCCAAATTTTATTCGGATGGTAATGTGATTTCCAAAAGTATCAAAAGAACGGTTTTATTTTAATTCATAATTCGACGACTGCAGTGGTCAGCATCCATCAACAAACTAGAATTAATGCCGGTGTCTATTTGCAAAAAAAAATACATCCACAATCGTCACAGGCAGCTGTATGAATAACGCAAAGAGACACTTGCGAAAGCTGTTCATATGGGAATGAAAGGACTCATTTATAAATTGTTAAAATTCAATCAAAAGCCATTGAGAGCATTTGCGGAAAAGATTAAAATTATAGGTCAACTGGGATGCCTGTGCTGGAAAATTCTGCTGCTTGTTTTTGTTGGACTTGGGGCTCCCGTAATCCCTTGGTTGGTAAGCTTCCTATTGAAATGGACGTTCAGAATAAGCAGGTCTACTATCAAGTAAGCAGGTATTGTGCAAATGATTTACACGCGTATGATGGAGGTCTACTGGTTGAGTGGCGAATATCAGCTATATTCAGTGGGTCAGATGGACAAATAATCGTGAAGTGGAGTCTGCTAGTCATATGGTAATGCATTATGTCTAGATCGAGCTGGAATTAGGGCGTAACAGCTTTTGTAAACAATGACTTCCCTCGATGATTTCTCGGAAGTCATGGCTCTCCCTGGCAAATCGACATCACCATCGAGTAAAGAAAGACTTCTCTTACTCTACTTCTCCTAATATGGATATGTTGGTTTGTTTAGGCGTGATTTGAATTCCGAGAAATCAACGAGAGGAGTTATTGTTAACAAAGGCTGTTACGCCGTAATTCCAGCTCTATCTATATGTTCCTGAATAATTTGACTGTATTTTGACCTAGTAGAGCTGCGCTGGGGAAAAATTCGTAGTTGTATTTGTTTGTGTTTTTTTCAGGCAATTTGGTATCACAATACATAGGGTGTTTGATTATTTGCGATCTACTAGAAACTTCCAGCACCTCTCTTTTTCGAATGGGTTTAAACAAAAAATGATTTTTTTTTTTTCTAAAATATGCCTTCTAAAGCTATTTACTTTTTTTTGGAATTTGATAAAGAGTCACAAATTGTTGAGATGTTGTTAAATATCTATCACTCCTTTTTGATTTCAATTCCGTCGTACGAGTGTCAATCCCAACCAAACGCATTGAAATTCTATTGGATTTTTTTTTTTGTCATACGGATGAAGGCAGATAAAAATGATTCGCTTTCGAATTGACAATTCGTGAATTTAACGAGCAGCACTGCTAGTTTAGTACTTGAACTAGCTTTCTGGTAAAAAAAAATCCCAAATTTTGTAATGCCAAAGCAGGGTGGACTGTTCTACTATTAGTTTTCATATTATGCTCTTCAATGAGCTTTGTGCTATAGCATTTGAACGAACGTATCGGAACAAACGTAGGGTTTTTGATCAAATTTTCATCCTACTAAACACAACCTGTGCTTCACCGGTATTTTTCGAACGGATTTGATCACGAAAAATGAATGACTTCTAATACTCGAAAAAAATTGAAACACACAAAAGTGGTAGCCACACATTAATTTTATGTCGGATTTTATTCAAACTTTCAAGGAATAAACTAAAACATACTTAATTCCGTATTTGGATCTCGGACCATAACCAAATGCCCGTGACTTGCCCTTTACACCACTCATAAGGTTTTGGGCAATGGTGGGGCCGACTTTACCCACTGTTTTTTTTTTTTTTTTCAATGCCGGATCGTTTTCCAACACTTTAGATGTTTTACGAAGTCTGGTCTTCATTATGGTCAAAAACTTCTCAATAGGGCGAAGTTTCGGCGAGTTCAGTGGGTTGAAGTCTTGTGGTACAAAAACAACATTGTTGTCTCTGTACCGGTCTAACACCGCGCTTAGTGGCAGGATGCCAAATCCGGCCAAAACAGCGCCTTGCCTCCGTGTGCCTTCAGGAATGGTAGCAGGCGCTTCTGGAGGCACTCGTCCCGGTAGATTTGCCACAGATGACCTGCCAAACCAAACACTTTTTGGAAAATATGTCCACCTTCTTCTTCCTTACCTCCTCAAGCACGGCCAACTGAGAACGTAAAACTCCTGTCCCGGCAACTGATTTGTGTCTGCCTTGGTGTAAGTCTTGTCGTAAATCATGACGCAGCTCGCTTTCGTCAGCCAGTCCATCTGTGGGACGCAGTCGTATTTTGCACGACGGCGCACAAGAACTGCTCCTGCTCCGATGCCATCTCGATAACCACTTGACAAATTGTGATGAAATTCTGCCAACGTAAGCATTTCACTCCAATTTCTTTAAAAATTTCATCAATTTTTACCAACATGCTAAAAAGTTACGAACTAATCAATGTGTCTCACTTTTTTCGAGTACAGTCCTTACATTTAAAGCGGCCAGAGCAAAAAAAATTCAATGCTTCAAAAGTCGCATAATAGATGGCGGACTGTGCTGGTTCACGTATTTCTGCATTCGTAATTGCACTGCATCTAATCTCCGTCTGGGAAGAAGTTTCACAAACTACTTTGAGAATGTGCCATAATGCCCTCAAATCATTGGCACTTTTTGAAGGGCGAATCCTCCTTGAGTAATCCTGCATCCTGCAGCTGGAGAAATATTACGGCAATTCCTCTAGATAATCGCTTCTGGAGGTGGACAAAACAGCGAATCTAGCTGAGCGGATCAGACCCATCCAGCTCGCTAGGAGGAGTCGATTCTTTTGAACAGCTCTTCAGCTTACATTGAAATTATACAAATTTGGACACACATTCTAAATCAGAAAAGAAATAAGTGGTTTTGGTGACCGTAAACCAATAGAGCTATATAAGCTTAAAACTGCATACAGTCGTAAAAGTAGTCAAAGCCAATAAATCCGTAGCTTACAACATGACTCTACTTATCAATTGAAAACGCTACTAACGCAACAACTGAACAACCACCGCGTAAACCAAAATGCGCGCAAAATGTGAAAACAACAAATCAGTAAAATCAAAAAAATGTTGCGAGAGAGATGATTGACATCGTGTCACAGATTGTATTGCTGATGTTAATTCTTCAGCAGAATTGCTCTCAATATTCTCGACTTCAGTTCCAGATCATCAGCTCAGATCCGGATCTGGAGCTGAATCGTGAAGAATCGTGAGAAAAAAAAATCCGAAGAGCTAGACGGGTCCAAGAGCAGGACGGATCTGAGAGCTGGACGGGTCCGAAAGCTGTCATCCTAAACAGCGCACAATGAATCATTCGGGTTGAAGATTCAGATTCAAGGTGAGCTATGAGGTGGAGTGCTGCATTTCGCTTTTCGGTTATTTGCTTGTGTGTGGATCTTCCGCTCCCATACGCAATGATGGGAGGAGAGAAGTGAGAGCACATATGCAGGAGAAATAACATCGGCAATAAGAGCCGGGTACGTAAATACATTGGATAGTACCAGTAGAAATTGAATATCATATAAACATGAGTCTCTCTAGCCGGTTCCAGTGGTGTAGTGGTAAGCTTGACTGCTTTCTCACCCCAATGGGTTCAGGTTCAATCCCAGCCGAGGTCGAAAGGTTTTTCTGAGGCATAAAAAGCTCTGGTCACATCTTCCTTAGGAAGGGAAGTACAGCTATCCCCCGAAGAACCCATTACCCACTGAGTTGCACCCGCACCGCTTTTTCTCGGCGGGATTTCAACCAGTCGGTCTGATTTTTTGCATGTGAGTATGGTCAATGGAAATCTAGTCACTCGCAGAAAATCAGAGCGCTTGGTTGAAAACCCACCAAGAAAAAGCGGTGGGTTCAACTCAGTGGGTACGCGTTCTTCGGGGGAAAGCTGTTGGTCCCGGCCCATGTGTGTAAAATGGGTGCGATATCCTCCTACGCAAGTGTGGAAACTGCCTTCCTGCACATTCGATTGCCATCAATGGATGGCAATCGATGTCCGTCGGTGAGTGGAACTAGATTTCGGAACAGAGACCGACGTTAAATAAAGGAATGAAGATATGTCTCTCTATCCCATACAACCGCTTGAAAGTTTGCTCTTACCGTTGATGTTATTCATCAGTCGACACATGTTGTATTAAGCGTGCATCTTGGTTTACGCGGTGTGTAAGTGGAGTAATGAGTCCATTTTTGAAAAGTTGTGAGTGACAGCTTAGACTTGTGATGTCAGTGAGCTGAAACTGAATCACGGGACATCAACTCACTGTAGTGAATCGGGTCTTTAGAACAGCTCGGAAGCGGATCGCCTAACTCTATTCCATGATTGTCGTAGAAGCATTTCCTAGCTACGGATGCAACAAGCGGATATCGTTCACCTTCGTCCTCGGCGAACTTGTTTAGCACTCTTGCAGCTTGGTAGGGCAAACATGCAGAATTTATTTTAGGGCCAACTAGAAGGAGTCGCCAAGAAGTGGAATCAAGACTGTCTTAGCAGTAACCGCACCCCGTAAAGTCCATTTTTATCGCGTAGCTCAGTGCGATTGAAGTGAAATATTGAATATCAGGTTGGAGATGTATTCGTGACCAGATGCGAGATCTCTGCATGAAAAGTGCTGGCTGGTTCAGGACAGATGACTGTTCTCGTCTGGGAAGTGCTGGATTCTCTTCGTTAGATGCATCAAGAACCGTCCATTATGCATGTTAGTTGTAAAAGATGGAACATAGGTGATGTTTTATTCTGAAGATTGGATTAAGTTTCTTAGGTTTCCCGTGTTGAACATAACAAAAATTAAATTGATCACATCTGATACAGCCAAAAATGGAGTCGTAACTTTCATGATGTCCAGAATAGAGCACTGATATTGGTGAAATCTGCAGCAGGAGGAGTGAGTTGAGGAATGGTTCAGCACACATCGAATTTAAGATCCAACCCCTGTGAAATTATCGGTCGTTGAAGAACTGGAGACCCGAGCAGTCCATTTTCCGGATGGTGGCAGCAGTAGAAAAACACTGCACGGCCATCAAGAATGTCTTTATCGTAATGATTGAGAACAACGTTGGTGAGTTGCACACTCAGATAAAAGAGTTATTATTGTTTATTGATTTATGTGATAAGGCTCAATCGAATTAACTTTACAGAGCCGATGATTCTTGTTCACTATACAATACATCTTAAAACTATAGTCGAAAGGTACAATACAATAAACACTTTATCTTCCACTGTCCAACAAGTCTCCTCCATCAGAACGGGAGCCGCTTCCGGTGGCTTCATTGTATGACAGTATCGCCAACGAGGGCAGAGCGCTTCCATTGCATTGGACACAAAACACATACTCATCACGAAACGGTTGCTTTCCAAAGTCGACGATGCATCGACCGAAAGAACTGCTGATGAAGAACAATGAGGAGGACCACACAATGGTTGTTGCCGAGTAAACAGACGATTGCGTGGCACACATCGAGAGTGGCCTGCTTCTGTCGACAGTCGAGTTGAACCCTGAGATAAAAGAGTGAATGGCGAAAAATTGAGGAGCGAAGAGAAGCAAAAGTCGCGATAGAGCGAGCAAGAGCCGAAGTCCGCCAAAGGTACTCGGCTCTTGAGCATTAAGTGAAGGGCTCTTGCAAACGGGACAGGCGAATATGAGTGAACTCCCTGACCGATGAGGTGGATACACCTGGAAGAACTGGATATATTTGATTCCAACGATATCCACGATACCTGGACCAAGACAGTTGCTTCCCCAACCCATCAACATTGCAGCATGATACACCAAGAATGTGGTGCATCACTCGCATCAGCTCCATTTCTGGAGATAGAAGAAGCTACCTGACGTATGAAATCAATCAAGGCTCCCGGTTCGATTAAATATCAACAGTGCTGACTCCATACTAAACGCACAAGTCTTGCATCAATTTTTCTGTAATAGGAGACTTTAGCACAGACTTCACAACTAGATGATGGAGCTTTTCCGACTCTATCCGCACGGCCAACCATAAAAATTCCGCGACTGAATTCAATTGACTCAGAGCATTTTCTTCCCATACAAAATTTACTCTTATTTGGAAATACCAGCAGTTACTCATAGCTAATGACTAACTGCAGGTTTTACCAACGATGACTAAATTTTGTATTGAAATATAATGCTCCGATTCAATTGAATTCAGTCGCTGAGTTGTTCTGCGGATCGTGGTTGGTAAGAGGCAACGATGTATTCTATTACCACTACTGTTCCTCATAGTAATGTAGGGCATTATAGTAGATGCAATTGACCGTGTACCGAACTGTGTGCTGCGATGGCAGCCTATCACTATGAAGCATATCAACAATTTCGATTTGACTAAACACAGAACCGACCGATTTGTCTTACTGGCTCTAATATACGATCTAGCCGAACCTTCCTCTGTGGAGATTTTCAATGCGCTTCCAGTTTTTCTGTAGATGGGTAAGCAGTGGAGAAAGTCGAAAGTTTTCAATGTTTTGAAAGTCAGGCGAGGGGACCAGGAGTGACTTAGATGCACAAATCAACAAGGCTAGCACTGCCTTACAACTTCCAACATCTTTGTTTCAAACGTCGTTTCGATTAGATGTGCCGTTTTCGTACTATGATTTTTTTTTAAATATCGAAAAGGCCATTTTTGAAAAATTAGCCGAGAGTGAAAATCGGACGAATTTTAGTACAAACTTGATTCGTTTGCTATAGCAAATGCAAAGTTTCATAGAATTCTGAGAGTTAAAATCTAAAATTTGTTTATTTTTTCATATGGCCTGGAACTGC